GCTAACATAGCAATGAATTTGTGAGACCATGATTTGTTACAACCGTGGAATCCTCAGATTAACATTCCCCCAATCTGCAAAACAAATCACAGATTAACATATGTTTCTGGGAAAAATATCAGAAGGTATTATACAGAACCATCACCAACCATTCAGGTTGTAAGAAAAACAGCTGGTACTATTTCAAAGGCACCAATAGCCCTATCTTTAAAATGGTTGACAGACAAACCATGGCCTCTAACAACAAAGAAAGTGCAGGCTTTAAAAGAGCTTCTCCAGTGGAGGTAGAGCGGGACTGAGAGGGATGGTGAGTGTCAATGACTCAGACCCTCCCCCCATTAGTTACTGGGGAAAAAAACACACTGAGTCAGGAGTCTGTCGAAGCAGGATCTCGATTTATTCCAACAGGCAGGAACTTATACAGGGCTGAGGTAGGGGATGGGAATCTTAGGATAGGGTAAGGTGATGTGAGGAGTTAAGGGCCAATAGTATTCCACCAAGCAGGCAGGTAGCTAGGCAGGGGGCAATCTTACATCAGGTCTGGCTGAGTCACCCCCATGTGGAGGTTACTGGTTAGAGATAGGTTGCCAAACTCTAGCCAGGCTCAGGAGGTTACACTGGGCCTCCCATCCAAGAAGTTAGGCTCAGGAACTTACATTGGGCCTCGCATCCGAGCCTTTCTTAGGCCCAACACTCCAGGAGCAACTAGATGCTCTGAATACTGAAGAATCAACCAGCGCTTGGAATTCTCCTGAATGTGTTGTTAAAAAGAAATCTGGCAAATGGAGTATGGTAACAAATCTAAGAGCTGTTAATAAGTTGATACAGTCAATGGACTCTCTACAGTCTGGAATCCCTTTGTCTTCTTTATTGCCTAAAGGGTGGCCTCTCAAGTTACTGATTTATGCAGAGACTGGACAAAAGGATACAACTTGACAATTAACCCCAAATTTTCTTTTCAGGATACCCTAAAGATGCCATCACCCCCAGACAGCAGGAAGTAACTTTAAGAGCACAGTGCCCACATTCCCAAAGATGGGGTGGGTGGTTTGTGGTCATTCAATACATTATGGATATTTGTCATTATTTAAGGTGATTGGTTACAAGTAATTATTGGTAATGGTCAGTTAATTTAACAATCTAATGCAAATTTCTAGTCCTTGAAAGTTGTTATTATCAACTATATAGGATGATAAGGAAATGTAGTTTAGTGATATTAGGTAATGTCTTCAAGGTCAAACAGATATATATTAGATAGATAGGTCATCTTCAAACACTTCAGAGATCTACACATTCAGAAATGCCACAGAATATGGCATTTAAGTGATTTTAGTAAAATATGTTCTTTTTTATGACAATGAGACATGTCTGCTCATGACAACACCAATCTGCTTCAGAGAAGATTATGGGCATTGAAGAAACTCCACATGGTGTTTACTTCCTTTGTTGCAAAATTAAGACACCGGGCAAGAATATGCCCCTGCCCTGACTATTGACAGTATACTGTCCCAATTCTATAAGCAGGACACAATAGAAAGGACTGCTAAACTTTGCCAAGACAAGGTAGGACAGCCCTTCATAATATTCTGCTGCACAATAAAGTGTTTCAGAGACTCTAAGCCTGTAGGCTGAAGGTAGATGCCCCAACGTTGCAGAGAAACCTGAGATGACTGGCCAGGAAGGAAGTTGTTTCTGTCATTCCTCACACTTTTTGGAAGTTTCTTGTTTACATTTCTTGCTTACTCAGTTAATATTAATTCCCTCTGAGAGAGCTGAAGACTAGATAGTATAGTTATAGTCTTCATAGTTTACCAGACTCAGAAAAGAAACTCACTAAAGACATGGAAACTATAAAAGGTTGAAGGACATTAAAAGATAATTTGATGATGCAGTATAGAATGGAAAGTAAATTCGGTACAAGGCTTTGAACTCACCAAGATAGGTTAAATAATGGAGTATTTTCTCTTTGTCAAATGTTAATGGACTAGACATTGTTGATGTATTTATTGTCCATAGCTAGTTTCCTTATTATATGTAGTTTTTCTTATATTAGTTATAACTTTTATTTTTAGACAAAAAAGGAAATATGTGGTGATACCTTGTTTGTACAAATAAAACTTTTCTGAAGACCAGAGGTTGGGGTTTTTCACTAGCTGACTATAGAGGTCTGGATGAAGATTTGCAATACAGGCAAATCTTCATCCAATCTAACTAAAAGGCAGACAGAATATCCAAAATAACAAAATAAGAAATGAAAGGGGGCTTAACAACAGATACCAAGAAAGTCTAAAGAATCATTAGGTCATTCTTCAAAAAATGTACTTCACAAAATTTTGAAGTCTAAAGGAATTGAACAAATTTCTTGATAGATACCATTTACCAAAGTTAAACCATGATCAGATAAATGATCTAAATAGACCTAGAGCTCCTAAGGAAAAAGGAACATTCATTAAAAGTCTCCCAACCAAAAACAATAAGCCCAGGGCCAGTCAGTTTTAGTGCAGAATTCTACCAGACTTTCAATGAAGACCTAATACCAACACTAAATTATTCCACAAATTAGAAACAGAAGGAACATTTTCTGAGGTTGCAGTGACCCTGATATCCAAATCACATCAAAAATCAAAAAATTTAAAAAAAGGAAAAATGAAAGGGAATTACAGACCTATTTCCCTTATGACTCTAGATACAAAAATACTCAATAAATTATTTACAAAGTGAATCCAAGACACAAACAATTCTACCAAGGAACTCCCACAGCTGATAAACACCTTCAGGGAAGTGTCTATATACAAGATTAACCAAAAAAACCCAACCCCACACACAAAAAAACAAAACAGTATGCATCCTATATTCAAGCAATAAATGGACTGAAAGAAATCAGGGAAGCAACATCCTTCACAGTAGCCCAAAATAACATAAAATATGTTGATATAATTCTATACCACTGCTGAATATGACATGAGACGCTAAGTCAGCATACCTGAGTCGTCCATACACCTGTGTTCATTGCTGCATCATTGACAACAACTAAGACATGTGACCAGCCTAGATAGCCACCAAATGATGAATGAATGAATAAAGGAAACACAATGTGTTTATTCAATATACTTTCAGACATAAGGAAAAATGACACAGTGACAATTGTAGGAAACACATGGAATTGGACATTATTAAGCTCAGAAAATGAAACTATGGTATTAAAGACAAACAGCATGGGTATTATGATGTGTTTGGACTGGATTTGAGCATGTGTGGCAGGATGGCATAGGTAGGTCATTACATGAGAAGAGAAACACTAAATAGAGAAAATGCATGTTAAGTTTAGGAGACCAAGAAAAGGATTTGTTGATGGTGAATAATTAAAGCTTAGGCCAGAAAAGCAAGGATAGGATATTAAATACCCTTCAGTAGAATAGGAGGCTGGGTAATAGCTGGATTTCAGCCCATTGTACAAAGCATCATGTGCCAAGTTAGGGGCTGATCTCCATTCTGGAGGATGCATTTTTGTCATGGATTTCTGGCATGGTCCTGGTACCATGAGGAAAGCAGGGTGGACTGACTCGTGTACAGTTTTGGGACGTCAGCAAAACCAGCTGTGCATATACTTCAGTTATATAGTATACATGTAAAATATAAAATATATAAGGAGCATCTGTTGTATATATAGGAGGGCAATCCTGGTTGGTAACCTTCAATCACAGAGAGAAACTGTAACAGTTGTGATGCTGTTACTTTCAGCTATGGTATGAATGGGAGTTACATCCCACAGTCTCACATGCCTGTGCTTAGATGGTGATAAGGCAGGGAGATACTGAACAGGATCAGGGTGGAGGTGGGAATTCCAGACATTAATGTAGGAGAGGCAGCAGAAAATACATGACTGGACACCCCTAGCCTGCCTTCCAATGCCCTACAAACACTTGGCTATTTCTCAGTTAATAAATGCTCTGCCTTCCTATAACTATCCATGTGTGTCTGTAAGGTTCATTGTTAAGACTTAAGACCCTGGAAATGAGAGTGTCTCCCCTACAGATTCAAATACACGCCTGTAACAACGGGAGAGCCAGCATGGGTTGGCTGTGGAACCTTTGGGGTGTTCTGGAAAACTACTCCCTAGGGAAATAACTACCCAGGAACCCTGCACAGAAGCCAATGCAGTTAAAATCTCAAAAGTTCCAAGGTTTACCCAAAGGTGTCTGAAAACCAGGTGGTGTAATTTGTGAACAACTGGGTTATAGGCATGAAAATCCCAACATTTGGTGAATCACGGTTTCTGAGAGACACTGGGGTGAGGCACTTGTTCTTAGGTCAGAGCTTCTGCAACCAGGCTCTGAAAGGCCTCTCATGGGATGGTGATGGTGAACTGTAACTTGCAGTGGAGTTCACAGGATGTGCTGAGACCATGGGATACCCACCAAAGAAAGCTAAAGGTGATTTTGGATTTTGGAGATTTAAACCCTCCTGATGACTTCTGAGGTTAGACTGAATGCAATTAAAGCAAGAGACAGTCATTACGTTTTTGCATGAGTGGGCTTTGTTGGGTTCTCATAGTCACCTGGGCATTGTCTATACCTTTGTGATCATATACCTCATCCAAGATGGCCTCTAAGTGGTCATAGCATATCTAGTACAGGTCACTGAAATGTTCATTTAAAATGAGATTCATAGCACATGATCAGGGCAGTGGACAGAATATGCCATCTCTGCACTGTTTTCTTCCAAGTCACCAGTTATACTTGGTCAACTCATGCAATTTAACAAGTTGGAATCCCAGGAAATTCTTCTTCAACTTTCAGATCATTGAGGAAGTTAGGCATGTGAATCCCTGGCAACAGTTTCACCAGGGTTGGGAACCTGACTCTGTAATGAGAGAACTGTGCCTCCTTCTCTTAGAAAACCATCCCATAACCACGCACACCTTCACCCAAAAGGTTTTAATGACATAAAATCTTACTAAAAAAAACCAACAGGAAGAAAACTTTAATTTTAAGACATTGTAGTGAAAAATTGTAGTGATTTATTAATGAGAATATGACTGTTAGTTCACATCACAGTGTTGATATTAAATGAATTCACCATTTTATTCCACAATGTGATGGAGAGGACCCCTCCTGCTCCTTCTTTCCCCCAGTCCATTCTCCTTAGCACCACGCAATTCACATCTTGGGCAGAAGCTCCTGAGGCAATGAAAGAGTGATTGCTTTACTCCTAGGCTGTCTTATTGTTTCTAATCCTGCACCTCCTGTTATTCTGCCTGGAAGCAAAGCACATATCACACTGATTAGAAAGACTGCAGCACAGTAACTTTGTCACAGTACCTTTACTCAAGCCTTTTTCCTTCATGGTCACCGTGTGTAATGCCCAACTACAGTACCACAATCAAGGAGAAAAGGTTGTCATCCACAACCCAATATAAACTCATTCCACACTTTAGAGAGAAGATCACTCAATCAAACAGTGAACTGCCAGTTGTTCCAAAGATGATGTCAGTGACTACACCAGTTCCTTCTTGACTTTCTATGGACAGTTAAGGGTAGAGATGAGATATTGTCATACCTAATCCATCACCAGGGTCACTTAGCTGTTCACTTTTAAATTCTCAGATTTAGGTGACTCTTCTGTATCCACTAACAATCCACAGCAATTTCCCTTGAACTCTTCATCCGTCTTCAGAGGAAACAAAAGAAAATATTAAAAAACCGAGAGACTATGTGTAAAGACCTTAAGTGAAGTAACAAAGAATTAGTAATCCACGTCTCACTCACCATGTCACTAAATTGATTGAGGCGCAGAGAGTAGCTGACCTTGCCCTGCTCATATTCCACATTGTGCTTGTCAATTTTCTTCTTCTTTTCTTCCCACAGTGCCCTTCTGTGTCCTTCTTCATCCTGGAGATGAGTGCAACAGAAAGTAATTTCTTCACATTAACTCCACACATGAGCTGACCAACAGTATTGTAGTGACAGGTAAAGAGGAGGCATGGAGGGGAATCTCAGGTCATGATAGCCAGGCAACCTCCACACCCAGAGGAGGGTTTGCAGGGCTTGTCTCTCTGAATTCATAGTGCATGTCTTAAGCCAGTCCTTGGTAGTGGCTGGCCTCTGGGACCACATTTATGCGAACAGACAACAGACTCCTAACAGCAAGGGCCATCCTCGTTGAGTCCCTCTGGACAGTGCCCATGTTACCGACCTGACTGTAGGTTTTTTCAAATTTCCTCTTCCATTCCTCCCATTCAGCATCCAAACTAGGATCACGTGATGGAGCAACTGAGGCCATTCTCAAGGAGTAAGATGGTATCAAAAACCTAGGGAACAAGGAATTGTCCCATACCAGTGGTCACTCCTTAGAACATACACTCCAATCATATTATGCATAATTACTAGACTATAATAAGTATATATGCATATGTATATATGTATGTAGTAACAACTAATAAAAGTTCAGAATTTTTTTGAAACTTTTTTTCATGCATGTTACACATGAATGCATACAGACCTACATATGCTCACACAAATATATGAACATATAAAAAATATAGTATTTATTAACACTGACACTTCAGCCTTTTTAAGTTGTCAATGTGGCTAGTTGCCAACACATTCCCACTAGGAATGGGCATCACAAATCTTTCTCAATTAATGTGAAGCTCCCCATGGCAGATAACACACAGACAGAAGAAAAGGCAGGATGTATGGGAAACATGGGCACAGCCTGCAGAAACCACAGTCTAATGTTAGCGTGTTGATGAAGCCCGTGTGGGTTGTCTTATATAGATATTCTGTGTCAGAGGCTGTGAGTGAAGCCTCAGCCTTGCTTTCTGAAATTCCAGTTGATTCTCTAAGAACCCGATGTGTTTCCTTGAGAGAGAAACAGCAGTGCAGTCCAGGTCAGCTATACTCAGTCTGAGTTGCTTTCCTCCCTACAAACAAATCCTCACTTCAAAGCAAGACACATAATGAACAATTTTTTAATTGATGCCAGAATTTTTAAAGAATCAGGAAGGGCATCTCTGATGGCATGAGGGACGAAAGATGGGGGAGTCGATGATGTAATTCTATTATTTTCTTAAAACATTAAAAACAAAAACAAAGAAACAAAGAAACAAGAAAACAAAGTCAACAAAACCTAGAGAAAAGAGAAGCCCCAGGTAACCAGAGCAAAGCTTTGAGGATGCTTATGGAGCAAGAGTCAGGCGGATAGAGGGTCTGTGTACCTTGCTTGTCTCTGCTCTCCTGGAGTGCAGCAGCTTCTGTTCAAGGCAGAAACCAGGACTGTGCTCTCCAGGGCTACTTAAGAGCTATTTGTAGAAGACTCTAGTGGTGCATTAGCAGAGCAGCCTGTGGCTCCACCCTTTCATTCCCGGAACAATGGTTAGCCCTCCCTAAAGCCTCAGCCTGTCCAATAGAGTAGAGCCATGAGGTAACTTAACTAGTGAGGCAAAGCAAAGGAAAACATGACACTGGAGAGCAGCCAGACTCACACCCCAGCTGAGTCATAAAGGCTGTAGCTTTTCCGAGAATTCCAAGACTCACAGATGTCCTCTTTTGCATAATTGACAGTCTTGAGAAATAACAAGAATTGTGGGAGAAGAACCCACTGGGGACAGTTAGTGTGAGCCACAGTCCTACCTCAGGTTGTATACTCATGTGGAGAACATAGGCTACCCTAAGAACCATGAAGGCACTGCTGATAGTACATATGAAGAGTCGAGCAATGAGTATCTGCCTTGTCTGAAACAGCCTATCACAGTCAGCAGCATCTGCAGAGAGGATGAAATACTCAGCAGGAAACAGAGGTGTCAGATCATCAGTGTCTCAGGTTATGACACAAGGGGCGTCTTCATACTGGTTGAAATAATCAAAAGAAAGCAAGAGATGGTAGAGATACTTGTCATCCATCCTGACTATCAGTGTCTCAGGCTAGGGCTTTATAGCATTAGAAAAAGATTGGAGTTGCTCAAACAAACAAACAAACAAACAAACAAACAAAAAAGCAGATGCCTCATGTGTGCAAAAAGGAGGACTATGGAGTTTCACTGGACACAGAAATTTGCTGTGTGGTGTGTATGGATGTTTCTTTCCAGCCTTATGCCACCGTTGTTCAAAACGGAGTCTTACATTAATCATCAACTGTTTGTCCAATTCCTCAGGTTTCTTATTAGCTTGCTCTCTTAATTACTTAACCATTTCTATTAATCTATAGATCTCCACATGGTACTGACATACCTATGAATATCCTGGCATCCTACCTTCCCTCTTTGGAGACCCACTCTCTGCATTCCTGTCCCAGAATTCTAGTCTGGTAGCCCTGCCTATGCTTCCTGCCTGGCAGCATCCCGTCTATCCATTGGCTGAAACAGCTTTATTCATCAACCAGTAAGAGAAGCATATATCCACAGCATGCAAAAGGACAGCCCCCATCAGTGTGGACTTCACTATCACTCTGACTAGCACAGCTGGGTGTATGATTACAGAGCATATGTAACAAAAATTAGAAAAGAGGATTCAGGTGTGACTAAAAAATACAGAGAATGTAAATCTGGCTTGTTTCTATTTTAATATATCACATGAAAAGTTTAAAAAAAAAAGTAGATTCATGCCCATTTTCCTTTGAGTTTCCCAAGGTTTTATTGTGCACTTTTCAGACAGGTAACTGACATTTAAGGATGCTTTTATGTTTGTTACAGGCAGAGCTGGATAGATACAGCCCTATCAAAGGTGCATGCCTTCCCCTCAGCCATGGTGGATTGCCAGTGGCCATGTCAGAGGAGCAGCAGAAGGCAATTGAGTTCAGGGAATTGGCCCACCAGGGAACAAAACTCTGATGGGTGAATCTCAGATGGGCACAGCCCTGAGAGCCTCAACCCAAGAATGTCCCTTGCTACTGTTGTGTTTTTTGCATGTTGGTTGCTCCCATCTTTCTCTGGTATCTGGCGTAGTGTGAATGGTTGTGACTTAGGTTAGTGATTAAGAAAAACAGTTGATTTCACAACTCTGTAATACTCCATTGTGTAAATGTACCATATTTTCTTTATCCGTTTTTTTTGGTTGAGGTGCTTCAAGGTTGTTTTCAGCTTCTATTTTATTCTGATTAATGCTGCTATGAACATACTTGTGTTGCTGTGATATGATTATCATTGGGGTCTAATGCCCAAGAGTGACATCATCCACTCTCGAGGTAGATTGAGTCCCAATTTTCTGAGAAACCACCAAACTGATCCTCAAAGTGGCTGTACAGTTTGCATTCCAACTAGGAGTGGAGGAGTATTCTGCTTACTCCACATCCTCTCTAGCACAAGCTATCATCAGCTTTTTTGATCTTACCTGTTATGGCAGGTGTAAGATGGTATCTCAGAGTCACGTTGGTTTGCATTTCCCTGATGACTAAGAATGATAAGCAAGTCCCTTCAATTCTTTCAGTGACTTGAGATTCTTCTGTTGAGAATTCCCTCTTTAGATACGTATCACACACAATATTATAAAATTGAATTATTTGATATTTGATTCTAATTGCTTGAGGTCTTCATATATTTTGGAGATCAGCCCTCTATCAGATGAGGTATTGGTGAAGATCTTTACCCAATCTGTAGGCTGCTGTTTTGTCTTATTGAACATGAACTTTGCCTTACAGAAGCTTTTCAGTTTTAGGGGGGTACCATTTATTAATTGTTGCTCTAAGAGTATTTGGTACTGGTGTTATATTCAGGAAGAAGTCTCCTATGCCAGTTACTTCAAAACTACTTCCCCTTTCTCTTCTCTCAATTTCAGTGTAACTGGATTTATACTGAGTTCTTTGATCCACTTGGACTTGAGTTTTGTGTATGGAAGTAGATGTGGATCTATTTGCATTCTTCTGCCTTTCAACATCCAGTTATCTAGCACCATTTGTGAAAGATGCTTTCTTTTTTCCATTGTATAATTTTGGCTTCTTCGTCAAAAATAAGGTATTCATAAATGTGCGGATTTATGTCTGTGTCTTCCACTCCATCCCATTGAGCCAGGGGTCTGTTTTTATGCCAATACAATCTTTACTTGAAATGACCTCATGAAATTCCCAGGTGAAAGGATGGAACTAGAAAAAAATCATTCTGAGTGAGGTAATCCAGATCCATAAAGACAAACATGGTATGTATTAATTCATAAATGGATATGAGGAATAAAGGATAGGGTAAGCAACCTACAACTCACAGACCTTGACAGACTAGATTACAAGGTGCTCAAAGAAGATGCACATGACAGGGACATTGATCAGATTTCCTGGGTAAACTGTGTGACTGTGTGTGTGGGGGGGGGTGAATGGAGGAATGGAAGCTTAAGGAATCAGGTTGGACTGGTTGAGTGAGAGGCAGGTTGGTGTAGTACACAGAGGAAGAGTAATGAAAGAAATGTCTTGATGAAGGGGACATTTTGGGGTTACAACCCGGAATCCACAAGGATGACCGCAGCTAAGAATCCTACAGAGAGTGGAGTGGGTACCTAAATCAGCCATCTACAGTAATACAATTGGTGACTCTTCTAACTTTTGTTGGAGATAGCCTATCCAATAATGGATGGAAGCAATGCAGAGATACATAGCCAAGCACTGGACAGAGCTCCAGGAGTCTTGCTGAATCAAGAGAGGAGGGATTGCACAAGCCATGGACATCATGGGAAACCCCCAGAGAGAGCTGACCTGAGCTTGTGGGAGCACATGAACTCTCAACCAATGGCTGAGCATCCTCCATGGGAGTTACCTAGGCCCTATGCATGTGTGTCATAGTTGTGTATCTTGGTCTTTTTTTGTAGGACTTCTCGTCTTGAGATCCCTGGATCATAGCTGGCTTTAGGGAACCTGTTCCCCATTCTAGATGACTTTGTCTAGCCTTAACACAAGGGGAGGTGCTTGGTCCTGCATCAAGTTGATGTGCCAAGCTTTGCTCAAACCCTTGGGTGGCCTGGCCCTTTCTGAGTGGAGATAGAGGGGGAACGGAAGGGATGTGAACAGATGGGAGGGGTGGGTGTGGGTGTGGTGGGGACTTAGGGAAAAGAGTGAAGGAAAGCTGTGGTTGGTATGTAAAATAAATGAAAATATTATTTAAATAAAAAACAATGAAAAAGGAAAAAATAACAGTTCCAGGAGGCCAGTTTGCTGGAATTATTCTTTTTTTTTTTTGGTTTTTTAAATTTAATTTTTTTATTTAATTTTTTCATCATTTTTATTTTAAGTTTAAACAGCTTGTTTTACATGTCAATCCCAGTTCCCTCTCCCTCCCTCCCTCCCGCACTCCCCTTCCCCCCCTCCCTCCCACCCTATTGCCAAATCCTTCCACATAGGGGATATCTAGAGTCTGTCATTTTACTCTTGGTAGGGTCAAGGCACTCCCCTAAGAGTCCAGGCTGAGAGAGCATTTCTCTTTGTGCTATAGGCGCATGAAGACAGAGATTCCAGTGGAAGGTACTACCTCAAGGTATGTTAAACAGTCCAACTTTGTGTCAATATTTTGTGAATAAACCTCTAGAAATAATTCGTAAAAAATTTCCACATTCGTTAATATATCATTATATGGATGACATATTATTGTCTGATTCAAATAAGGATACTTTGGAAAAGATGTTTGAGGCAGTAAAGGAAATTTTGCCTTGCTGGGGATTACAAATTGCCCCAGAAAAAATACAAAGAGGAGATTCTATTAACTATTTAGGTTATAAAATAGATGCTCAGAAAATTAGACCACAGAAAGTACAGATCAGAAGAGATCGTTACCGGACTCTTAATGATCTTCAAAAACTATTAGGAGAAATCTCTCAATTACAGACGATTATTGGTGTAGAAGGGCATGATTTAAAACACCTGAAAATGGCTTTAAAAGGAGATAATGACCTAAACAGCCCATGAGTACTATCAGCTGAGGCTGAAAAAGAATTAGAATGGGTAGAAAAGAGAATATTAGAAGCACATGTGGACCGTGTGGATCCATATCTGGACTGTATCCTGGTTATTTTACCATCTAGAGAATACCATTCAGGAATATTAATGCAGAGGGAAGACATCATTCTGCCACATAAACAGAATAAAAAATTGAAAACATATATAGAAAAGATCTCTGATTTGATATTAAAAGGTAAATTAAAGCTTCGTCAACTGACTGGGAAAGACCCAGCTGAAATTATTGTACCTTTAACGAATGAGGAAATTTCCTCCTTATGGAAGGATAATGAGTATTGACAAATAGCTTACAGTGACTTTTTGGGAAGTATTAGTAATAACTATCCCAAAACAGAGAGAATCAAATTCATAAAGAAAACAATTTGGATTCTTCCACGTATCGTGAGGCAAACACCTATT